TTTTTTTTCAAAATCTGGATTGCAAAATTATTATGCAAAATCTATCGAATCGATTTTGATGAAATTTGGTGTGATAATTCTACATAACATGAAGTTTTTTTGAGCCAAGTATAAAGGTCCTATACCCAATTTAAATACCCCAAAAAAATCTCTAAAAAGTATTGTTTTTTAACCCCATTTTTGCGATTTTTTCGATTTTTATCATAATAATCATGATTCATTCGATTTGTAACTAGACATGTTTTGTAAAAAATTTAATTGCAAACATTTTTTTCCTCTTCCATTTTCGCCTCAAATCAACTCTTGAAAATATACATAATTAAATAGGAAGAAAAATATGACATTTTTCGAATTTTTTTAACATATTGTGCCGCCAAAAGTTATGCCCACGTTTTTTTATGCGTTTTGGCGAACAGAATAATGTTGCTCACAGTTAAAGCCGTACCATATGCAAAAAGTACAAGAGTTGTTGCCTCAGGACTTTCCTAGAACAGTTACTTTTTGCAGAAGAATGTTGCATATGTTAAACAGAAATCGTAACTTCTCTAATTTTGTATTATTTACTGGCGAGGTAACTTTTGCAAGACATTGTATTTTTAATACCCATAAAACGCATATCTGGAGTGAAGATAATTCTCGCGATACGTTCCAACAAAAGCACACATTCAGTCTGAACTATGGATACCTAGGTATTATAGGATATTACCTTGTCGAATCCCACATTATGCCGCGCCACGTAGGAGGAAAAAATTATCTGAATTTTTTAGAAAACAATTTAAACGACCTTTTTGATGAAATTCCACTGCAGGCAAGGCAAAACATGGTTCATGCACGACGGTGTCCCAGCTCACTACTCTTTGACTGTACGCCAGTGGTTGCACCAAAATTTTTCCAGAAGACGGATAGGTAGTGGTCAAAATGCACCAATTGCTTGGCCACCGCGTTCTCCTGTTCTTAATCCGTATGATTTTTACCTTTGGGTCACTTTAAAGGCCTAGTTTATTCTACACAACACATAATTCTACACAAGTACATAATTTGGAAAACCTTGAAATTTTGAATCGAGTGAAGTACAATGAAGTACAGGAGAAGCAGGAGGCAGGCATTTTGAGAATAATATTTAAGTTATTAGTATTTTTTTTAATAATAAATTTTGTTCACAGAGCGATTACCCCTACATTGCTTTCCTGCCATCAATGCATTTTATGGATATTCACTTCAAAACATGGCTATTTATTGGCATTGGTCGTGTTCCTTTGAAATCTTCAGACATTTAAGAGAAATTTGTATTTTTACTTTTTTTTATTTCAACTTTAATTCCAACATCTCCAATTTATTGTACCTAACAGAAACCAAGAACTCTTTCTTGCATCTTTATGAATTAATTTACATTTTAGTTTGGATTGTTTTCAATAATTTTTTTGATATTCAAAAAAATATATTATATTTTTGACATTTCATATATTTATTGGTTTAGTTATAATTTGTAGGATGGACTTTCAGTTAAATCAGAAGATACACGATAATTTGGTTAATACCCTCTAACAGTGTATAGATAACATAGCCACACACAAAAAAAAAGTTGGGTATACTTTTTATGCGACATATATTTTTCGTAGTAATTTGGCCTCTTGAACACGAATCTGGGATCAGAATTGGCCCATCACGTCACAATTTTTTCCTAACCTTAAAAAACTTGTGAAAAATAGTGAAAATTGATGAAAATTTACTGGGAAAATTTGGAAAAAAATTTATTTCCACATCAAATAGTACATTTTTATGTAAAAGACTCTGCTGAATTCAAATCCACTGTCAGAATTGAGCTAGAACGTGTGGTTTTTTTTCTAACCTCAAAAAACCGAGCAGGAATCGCTATTTTCAAATTCTGAGCGGATTTTGACCAGATTTTGTATAAAGGGGTTTTTTGGGTCGCTGATTACGAATATGAATTCACATTGTAAAAATTCAAGATGGCTGATCCAATATGGCGGGTGTACTTTTTTGAAATCCACCGATTTCAGTAAAATTTGGCATCATAAGGATTGCTGGTTGATCTCACCTTCATTAATCACACATCTGGAGCCAGATTTTCATAAATCAAGGTAAAAGATTCCACTCCGTCTAAAAATGTGACTTCGCTTAAAAAAATGACTTAAGGACTCTACACATGTAATGATGTGTAGTGTGATGTGCTTGTTTCCATGGGACAAGACAAAAAAGTTTCTACTTTATTCTTTCATTTATTTAGTCGTGCATGGGCTTATGGTTTTCCAATCAGATTTTTTTAACTACTATGCAGTTTTCCTATGGCATTTAGATGCTTTTATTTCTTAATAATTTTAAAGTTCAAGGAAAAGGACACATTACTGCCACACAGCATATCATTGCATCTGCTTATGCCTTCAATCTAAAAATGTGACTTTGCCGAAAAAATGCCGCCTACTCGGCCTAAAATTATGACTCTGCCTACAAATTTTACCTCATAGCGCATTATTCACAATTAAAAAACAAGGCTTTAAAATAATGAGAGTCCCAAAAACTTTTCAGCATCTTATAGGGGGTTGTTTAAACTTTAATTTAGGTACCTGGCAACTCCAGAAATAATAATTTTTAACCCGGAAATCGGCCGTTGAAAATCGTCATTTTCGCATTTTTAGCAACTTAAATTGTTTATAACTTTAAAACTATCAAGGCATAGTGGATAGGGACTTTTTTGTTTATAATGTGCCAAAAAACTTGACAAATTTTAACAATTTTTACAATTTGTTTAAAAAAGTTTGTTTAAACAAATGGGCACCAGATTTCTGGCCGGCATCATCTTGATTCATGTTAAGGAACATCTCACGAATTTGAATATGCAAAACAATCGAGTCGGAAAATTTCTCTCACGAATGCGAGGTTTTCGCCTTTACTAGATTTAGGTCAATATCTAGAATCTAGATAATTATATCGTTATTTCATATTCTGTTTAATAAAATTGGTAGGCATCTAATTGTCAAATAAAAATGAAGTCTTAGGTCAACCAAGAGAGCATAAAATCAGTGATTTTGTGACAAAAATACTAACAGCAAACGGATTATGTCATCATGTAAAAGACAGTGTGTAGATATATGCTCATGTTTCCTACTCCAATTTACCTTTGATTAATTTTTTACCCCAAAAAGTTTTTTTTTAGTTTTTTGCTTATAAAACTTAAACTAACCAAGCAATAAAATTTATTATTCCGCCATTTTTTAAGTTGCAGAGCTGACCCTGTGCACAAAAGTAGTGAATTATATGTACTTTAAGTGTGCACAAAGCAGGCGCTGTCGGACAATTAGTTTTGGCACAATTGCAACTTGAATTTTTTGGTGCACTATTTTGCAAACTTTCTGGATGCGTTGAAGATGGTCCGATTTTAATTTTTCAGGCGGATTTTAAAAGTAGAAGGATAATACTACAAAACGTATGTTCTAATGATGCGAAGTAGGTGAAAAATTCGAGCACAATTTTGAATATTGTTGGTTATAGTATTTAATATTATTATTAAGTGGTGATATATACAAAATGTAATAAAATTTCCTTAACAAGGACACCTAAATACGTATTCTTTGGAATAGAAAAGTACATTTTGTAAGAAAACTTTCAAATTCACGTTCGATGTCAAGATTTCGCGTAAATGTAAAAAAACACAGGAACAAAACAAGGAATATCCACAAGTTCCACATCATTGTGATTCCGTGTATTGGTATTATTTATTATGTATTACCACTTACAATAATATTAATCTACACTATAACTAACAATATTGCCCTCTGCAACAATCCTCTGCCCCTCATCTCCCGATCTTCCCCCACTACTCGACCACGTACACGCGCTCGGTCGTTTTTGAGCATGTTTGGAGGAAATTTTCACCTACCTCGCACCATTTCATCGGAAAACTATAGATAATGCGCTTTATAGTGTTATACTTCTACTTTTAAAATCCGGCTGAAAAATTAAAATCGGACCACCTCCAACGCATTTAGAAACTTTATAAAATAGTGCATCAAAAAATTCAAATTGCAATTGTGCCAAAACTAATGATCCGACAGCGCCTGCTTAGTGCACATTTAAAGTATATACTATTTACTACTTTTGTGCACAAAGTCAGCTCTATAACATAAAAAATGGCAGAGTAATGAATTTTTCGAAAAAACGCTAAATTTTCCAATTTTTCCTGGTTTTTTCGTTTCTAATTATCTGATCGGATCGATCGACCTCTCGTTTTATTCGTATTTCGATTTTCTAAAAATTGTCTCTTTATAGCATTCAGATTGTTTAGTTAATTTTGGTTTTATAGGCAAAAAATATAAAAAAATGCGTTTTTTTGCATAAAAATGTTTATAAAAAATTAATTAATGGTAAGGTATAAGCATATATCTACAGACTGTATTTTATATGATGGCACAGTCCGTTTGCTACTAGTATTTTTGTCACAAACAAAAACCTCTATTGATTGGCCTATCTGGAGATGCTGACAGTCATGAAAAAATGATTATCAGTTGAAGTCAAAATATTTTGTAGCATATTAGTGGCACGCTTATCTGAAACGTCATTGAGATAAATTGTTAAGTTTGACTATAAAATATTCTCGTAGAAGATATTACATAATGCTTTAAAAATGGAATATTATCATTATAATAATCATACAGTAGATCTAGAAAAGATCCAAGAAGATATGGGAAATCAATGCGAAAAATTAGGTACTTACACTTCGAAACATTTCATTTTAAATTCCATCGGTACACACATCAATACTTCACTACTAACTGTTCCATTAAAGATATTTTACTGTTAAAACATAGGTTTATATTTTCCTCATACTACTGACACATATCCGGTAAATGATACCACCAACTGATAATTCAAAATTGTTTTATATAAACTTGGCGTTATTTACATCATGTGGTTATATTAATAATGGATAGTGATATATCTGAAAATAAGTATACATAAAAATTATAAGTTTTTATTATTATATTGCAGCATATTATTAATTTTTATTTAAAGGCAATCATTTATAAAGATTTTCATTGTTTGGTCTCGTGTTTGGTCAACAAATTTCAACTTTTTCTCTGTAACACGAACGAAATAGAGTGTTCTTTACTAATTCGCTCCTGCTGAACACGAAAATCGCGTCAACTTTGTGTTACGTCATATTTCTGTGTTACAGCTATATGTCATTTAATTTTTATAAAAATATTTTTTTACATACGTTTGAACTTTTTTTTTTCAGTGACATGCATAAATTTTTGCAGTTTCTTAGAAGTTCTGCTATCAGTTGCGGATAGTTAGCTTTACGTTTGCCTAAAAATCATTATACCACAGAAATAAATGATTCCCAAGATGCAAGTTCGTGGGTATTTAATTTTAATTTAAAATATAACTAATTTGTATCGACTGAACATATAATGAAATAATAATATTGTTAGTCCCGTTATGATTATGTTTATTTAGTCCAGGAAATATAGAGTTGGACGCGACTTTTTGTTTCGGCAAGCTGAATTTATCACTATAGATGCTAAATATTATGTACAATAATATATTAGTTTCCACAGTCATAAAAATGGGGGTATATTGTTTACAGGGTGATTGATTATATAATTTTTACGTAAATTCACGTTTTTCGCTTTTAACTTTTTTGCGTTCATTTCCACGAGAAAACTGTAAGGTACTTTTTTTTTCGTCTTCAAAAGACCTACAAAACTAGCCCTCGGGCGTCAAAAAATATTGATTAGATCAAAAGTTATAAACAGAAGAAGTTTATTTATGACATTTGAATTAGACATTTATAAACTGCGTTATTATTACCAGGACGTTTTGACATCGTATCCAGTCATTCCTTATCACTGTCTAATAACTCACACGAAATCTGAAATCAGTATGTTGAATAGTTTACAAGTTATGGCCTTATAAACAAATGAACTAATTATTAGTCTCGACGATCCCGAGGATCTTCCACAATCGCACTGATTTTTTTCATGGTAGATTTCATAATAATACATTGAAATTTATATATATATTTTTTAATTTCAAATTTGCAACCTGGTATTTTTTTTATTTTTTAGCCTTAGATGCAAAATGAAATTTACGACGCACACGCGTGATATAGTTATATAGGTACTATTACATATTCGAAAAGCTTATGAAAAGAGCTTTAAGTTAAAAAATAATCGTCAAGATTCGTTGAAAAACAACGGAGTTACAGACTGTCAAATATATTATTTTCAAGCGAATTTCGCTTATTTAACGGCAGGACTATAATAATATCGTCATTTTCTTCAGATTCGCTGTCGTTCGCTTCCCTCATCCTTCCGCCGCGCCATGGCTCGCCGAAAATCAAGCGACTGACTTTTGACAATATTTCTTATGCACTTAACATACTTCCACAAATAAAATATTTTTATCTGGGAAAGTACTCGGGTTGCCGGTTATGACAGTATTTTTTTTTGCCGCTATCAACCTAATTTGTTTAACAATCGGCCGTCAACTTTGACAGTCTGTAACTCCGCTGTTTTTCAACGAATCTTGACGATTTTTTATCTTCAAGTTCTTTTCATAAGCTTTCCGAATACGTAATAATATATAACTATATAACGCTCGTGCGTCGTATATTTCATTTTGCAACTAAGGCTTAAAAATAAAAAAAATTACAGGTTGCAAATTTGAAATTAAAAAAATAGTAATCTATCATTACTATTTCAATGTATTATCTGCCATGAAAAAAATCAGTGCGATTGTGGAAGATACTCGGGATCGTCCAGACTAATAATTAGTTAATTTGTTTATAAGGCCATAACGTGTAAACTATTCAACTTACCGATTCCAAATTTCGTGTGAGTTATTAGACAATGATAAGGAATGACAGGATGCGATGCAGAAACGTTCTAGTAATAATAACGCAGTTTATAAATGTTTACATTTATTTACGTAAAAATTATACAATTAACCACCCTATAAACAATCTTCCCCCCATTTTTATGAGTGTGGAAACTAATATGTTATTGTACATAATATTTAGCATCTATAGTGATAAATTCAGCTTGCCGAAACCAAAAATCGAGAAATGGTCATTTCCCAGCTTATTTTCCTGGCCTATATTGAAAAGCAAAATTGGAAAAGTTACTTCAGTCAAATATGTTCAATTCTGCTCATTTTAGTAATCTTAAAAGGTATGGTGTGATAAATAACGACGAAAATAGTTAACTTAATATATTTTTTTATTACAAAACATTCTAACAATAATACAAAATTGCAATGTCAACGACAATCGATGGGTTGTATAAATAAATTTTGCAGTACATACACTATAACTCTATAAATATATATAAAGTATACAATCACGAACTTGCTAAAAATAGTGTTTAAACATATGTTTGAGATGTTATGAAACGAGCAAATAAAATATGTTTCAAAATAGAAATTTCCATTTTCCATTTTCTTTAATCCTTTTTTAAGAAACTATCATTTAGAAGTTCGAATCATTTTTCTAAGAAAATTCCTCTGCATAAAGCAATCTGTGCCATTTAAAAAGATACATTTCAGGGATAAATTAATCAAAGGTATCACTATATTATAGCAACCATTCATTTGTAAATTACACCTCATACTTGAACTAAACATTAACGGGTTTGTGAGTAGCATCACTAGATTCCTGCTTTCTATTGTCCGTTTTTTCAGAACCGCTTTGCCACCCTGAATCCATTGTTCCATCGCTGTGACAACCCTGTCCTTGGAGCTCATCTTCTGTATTGGCATCTCCGTAGAGCAACCCTGCTGGATTACCCCCCAAATTCTGAATCAGAGCTGAAATGTTCGAGCCGATATTTCTTCTGGCCTGTTGATTTAAGTTTAGCGTCTTTGGTGGAATATTTTTGGGATTAGATGTGTTAAAATTAAAGTTTGATTTGTTCTGATTGTAATAACTCTGTTCAAAATTATTTAGGCCTGAGATGGTATTTGTCAAGTTACTTGGGTTAGGCCTGAAGTTGTCTTGCTCAGGAATCACTTCGTATTGAGCATCTGGAGCCAAATATTGATCTAAAGTGGAATTCGAGAACCCCCGCTGTTTTGAAGTTTGTTCCATTGATTTCTCTTGAAAATAGCTCCCGCAGCATTCATCTGGAGATACAGTGTCATCTGTTGTTTCCGTAAGAGGAGTTTGGACACTACTGCATAAACTGTTCTGTGAAATGTCTTTAGGTAACAGTTGCATACACGAATCTGTTGTGAATTCGGCTAGTTCATCTGAGCTAGGTAAAGGAAAAGGCATCCTGCTTCTGGTGGACATTTGTCTGTTTCCCATCCTATGCGCCAAGTAATCCTCGTCCTCTGTCACCGTCGATGATGATATATTCTCTTGGAAATTCTGTAACAATTGATTCGTGGTAATATCACCATTGTCAGATTTCTGTAGTGACATTAACCTCGGTTTCTGTGTGTCTAATGCTTCGTCATACAAAGATGAGTCTAGACCGTCGTTCCTTACTGATATATTACAGCAACTGCTTACGTCAGCAAAATATACTTCGGATTCAGTTGTTTCTACTTTCTGGGGACTATTCTCTTGTTTCTGAAAGGCCGCGTTTTCTACGCCTTGCAGTCTTGGCAAGAAGCGGCACTTTTGTGCTTCTAAATTTGGTTTGTTATTATCAGGTACACTTGCTTCGTGGTAATCATGATCCGATTCCGGCTTACCCTCGTCTTGGCCGTTTTGGTTAAATATATTCTGCACGTTTGTGCGGTTACTGCAGGGCTGAGCATTCGACTTCACAGAGGCCATGTCAGTTCTTTTCTTAATTTTCCGCACGGGCAGAGTGTGGGATACTCTATCAACACAACTGGAAGTGTCAGTACTTTCACTGTTGTCGTTGGGTTGATGGATTTCTGGTTCCGTTGTATTCTCGTAGTTATCTTTATTGTTGAGTTGAGTCCTGGGCCTGCGCGAACCTCTAAACTGATTGTTTTCGTTCATCTGACAATGGGACTCGTGTCCGTGGTTGTGGTGATGCATGTGGTGGTACCTAAAACGTTACATGGTTTTGCTAGATTAACGATAAAAAACAAATAGTCACCTTCCAGGGGACTGTAACTGCCGTCTAGCTGGTGAATTTGGGTTGGAATAAGGGGGAGGTGGTCCCCAAACATATACCCCACCAACAGGTGCTCGATTGTCTAATATGCTGTATGACCCAGTGGAGCCTGTCATTTGATCCGTCTGGAGAACGTTATCACCTCCAGACCTGTTGCTGAATCCGTATTGGCTGTCTGCACTGCTTACACCTCCTTGATATGTTAGAGAATTATCTCTGAAATGAAAAAATATATGTAATTTCAGATGGGTTTCCGAGAAGTTCAATAGAAATTTAGTTTCGTTATTTATACTATGACATATTTTTATAGTATTAAAATGCTAAAATTAGTACACAGTTCAAAAATTATTACGTACCTACAGCAAAATAGTTTACTTACTTCATTTGCGGAGAACTGATAAAATTTTAAAAATTTTGATCTAACATTAAAAACAATACAAGCCAACCAATTTGAAGGGCTCTTAAATATTTAAGATCCTATCAGGATTTAATTCTCATCGACTTTAGAAACAGAACATATGTAATAAGATTTCAAATCTTAAAAAATATATCAATTTTTTTCTTATAATCTTAATAATAAATTTTATACAATTATTTAAATGGAATTTAGTATTTCATAATTATTAGCCATGTTTTGAGTTAATTTCAAAAGGTAAATGTTTACCTGGCATGTAACTGTTGACTGTATGTCCAGAAATGCTTGATGAGAACCTTTTAGGTAGTTTCCATATGGATTTAACGAGCAAAAAAATCCACCTCTTCGATTATTTTAAACTTTGGGATGTTAATCTACTTTGAATTTTATGAGATTCGTGTTTTTTTTGTTTTTCCGAAAAAGAATTTTGGAGCTTATTCTGAGAATGAAAATTCCGTTCAGGTGGCCGCCATTTTGATCCAAATCATCCTATCGAAACGTTTTTTTTTTCAAAATGTGCAGAATTTCAGCTTTTATCTGTTTTGTTCAGAACTCAATTGCTTTAAAACTTTCTGAGATAAATGAGAAAAACGGAAAAAATATATATTTTCTTAAATTGATTTTCTCAAAAACACATTTTATTTTCACGAAATTTTGATATGTTTTTCAAGGCCAAATAAGCTATCTTTTAGCCAAGCGGAAATATGCCAACTTGCTCTGTTATGATTTCGCAAAGACAATATTTCTAAATGTTTAAGCTTCATAATAATAATAAACTTTATTTTCCTTGAAGACAGACATTGTATAGGAATTGTCACATTTTTTTTATACTTAAAATAACTTAAAACTATCTACTCTAAATACATTAAGAATAAAAAAATTAATTTAAAGTATAAAATGTATTTCTTATTAAGTATTTGTGCAGCTTCTTCTTAAAAAATATAAAATTATTTGTGTTCTTTATCTCAGAAGGCAATTTGTTAAAAACTTTTAAACCTAAATAAAATGGTAAATCACAAGATATTTTGTATTTAAAAAAAAGAATGTGGAATTTTTTATTTTACCTAGTGCTTTTATTATGAATGGTTTCATTTAATTTAAAAGTAGACTTATTTCTAAAAAACGTATACGGACAATTCAAAGATAAATAAAGACACAACCGTTCAAATATACATGCGTTATATGTATGTATAAGCTCGTATCATACTAATTTTAACACGGGAAATCATTTGTCAACGTAAAAATGAGTAAAAGAATCAGTATAAATCAACATTCAACATAAGTACAAATGAAATAAAGTATTTTATTTTATTAATGAGTTACAGTAATTTTCTCTTGTGATATCAGTAAATTTAAATAGGTAGCAATAATTATAATAAATATAATAATAATTAATCCAAACTAAACAAAGAGGCATTCATGATGGTTTGATTGTCTATACTGAATTTTCTACATTTACATCGGATAACCAAATATTACGAATGCCTTGAACTGATTGAACTCCTTTCCATTCCTCGGTCTTTTAAGCTCGAAATTTTAGCAGCTCTTCGTCGGTTCTTAAAAGTATTAATACTTTTGAAAACTGAAGAACTACAAAAATATAGTGTTTGCGAAACCGTATCTCCCGAACGGAGCAAGTTGGCATATTGCCGGCTAAAGATAGTTTATTTGACCTTGAAATACATTCCAAATTTGGTGAAAATAAAAGGTGGTAAGTGGTAAATAAAATTTTGAAAAAAAATATTTTTTCTGTTTTCCTCATTTATCTCGGAAATTTTTAAAGGAATTTGAATTATGAAATAAACAGGTAAGTGTGATAAAATTTTGCACATATTGAAAAAAAGCGTTTCAATAGGATGATTTGGGTTAAAATGACGGCCACTTGAAAAAAATGTGCATTGTCGAAAGCCTGTCTTCCGCACGGAGCAAATTGGCATATTGTCGCTTGGCTAAAAGATAGCTTGTTTGACCTTGAAAAACATATTCAAATTTGGTGAAATTAAAAGATGGGGCTTTTAAGAAAATCAATTTTGAAAAAAAACAACTTTTTCCGTTTTTCTCAAATATCTCGGAAAGTTTTAAAATGATTTGAATTCTGAAAAACCCAGTTAAAAGCTGATGAAATTCTGCTCATGTTGAAAAAGAAAACGTGTCAATAGGATAATTTGAGTCAAATAAGGCGGCCACTTATATGCATTTTCATTTTCGGAATAACGGTATCACGATGTAAACTTTGACAGGATGCCACAGAGCTCCAAAAATTTTTTTCGGAAGAACAAAAAATCACGGGGCTTAAAATTCAAATTGGACTAACATCCCAAAGTTTCAAAAAAATCTAAGAGGTCAATTTTTTTGTTCGTTGAGTCCATATGGAAACTATCTTTAGCAGTTTATTCTCTATACGATTTCAAAGCAAACTATAGCAGCAAATATTTTTTACACCAAATTATTTTTACCTTTGCGTTTCTGTCTGTCCCAAATTTCCCCTGCTCCAAGGTAATCTCCTCCAACTCCATCCGCTTAGGGCTCTCCTACTTTGCCCATCAGAATTCGATGGGGCAACTGCCTCTTCTCCAGGATTTGGGGAGTAAAAGTTTCCTATACGTCCTGGCGCCCAAAACCTACGAAAAAAGGACTTAATTCCTTTAAGCGATTGATTAAATCTGTTTATATAGCATGATCTCTACTCACTCACCTCTCATTTGGATGGTGATTATCCCATGGATAAACCTGGGGTCCTGCAGGGACGGAAGGAAATCGACATTCCTCGCAACAGCTGCAGTAGGTTGTGGGCGGCATCTGCGGGCCTCTTATAGAACCATGGTTGCTCGAAGGGCCAGACTGTTGCTGATAAAACGATCTACATCTGAGCTCCAGCTGTTCCCAATACATTTTCTTTTTTTCGTGGCTAAATATATACCACACAATTATTTACATTGTTTTCCATTAATTTAAAAATATAGTGCGTTCATGATGAAAAAACAGATTCGTTTAAAATTAATGTAATTATTTTGTGCAAAGACACGTTGATTAGTATTTTCAGTTGCGGATTTTTTGACAAGATAATTGTATTCAAAAAGAACATATGCAGTCATCATTGATTTTTTTTAATGTATCACCTTGTATATTATGCCATTTTTGAATTGTACGGTCTGAACACTTTTTGCATAACATACAATATCTCTAAAATCAGCGGTTTTCGTAATAATGACGTTTGAAATGTGATAAATGTAAAAAAATTATGTTTAATCATAAAACATTATTTAAGTAACAATTGCTTTATAAATATTCAATGTTTTGTCCGTTTACTTCAATACATTTTTGTTGTCGAAGGAATGTTGAACGTTTTCAATTACCTCTGCTGGAATAAGTCTTATTTCCTGGCGTATTCTCTGTTTCAGGTCGTCAAGATTATTTGGTCTATTCACATAAACTCTAGATTTCAAATAACCCCATAAGGAGAAATCTAAAGGGGTTAAATCCGGTGACCTTGATGGCCACTCAATAGGATCTCTGCGTCCTATCTATTTATTAGCGAAAGTTAAGTCAAGAAATTGTCGAACAGCAATTACAAAATGAGGAACCATATGTTATTATGAGGAATATCTGGATCTTGTGGATTAGGAAACACCACAGGAAAGCGAGAATGAGTTCAAACTGAAGAAAGTCTAAGTAGCGTTCTCCATTTAAATTTTCTTCAAAAAAAGAGAAGAAGAGTTCAAGAATTCGGTTTTTGACAATACCTGCTCAAACATTTATTTTTTGACGATGCTGTGTGTGACAGACTTGTGTCCAACGAGGATTTTCAGTTGCCCAGTACCTGCAGTTTTATTTAAAACAAAAGTAGCCCCATCTGAAAAAATAATCTTTCGTGTGAAATCTAAGTTTTGATGATTTATCTCAATTATCTGCTCACAAAACTAAGTTCTTCGGTCAAAACCGTCTTCTAATAGTTCATGTATCAATTGAACCTTATAAGGATGATTTTATTCTTTCTGAGTATTTATGACACCGATCCCGATGACAAATTACAATTCCTGGTGATTGTCCTAACGGCTGGGAATTATTTACAGTTTCTGTAAAACATCTAGTTTAGAATCTTCTGATAGTTCTACTGGTCTTCCTTTAGGTAAATTTCTAACGTGGCTGTGCTCAATAAAATTCAATTCAATTTTGCTGACAGTAAATCTAGTAATTGGAAGTCAATCAGGATGAATTACATTAAATAAATTACACACTTCTTGTTGAGTACACACTCTGCCTCCAAAACCATCATCATAAGTACTTCAGTACGTTCTTTATCAGATAAATGCATTTTTAAATTGAAACGCAAAACTGACAAAATGATACTGACAAACTAAACGCCGGTGATAGTTTGGCTTTTATTGTCACAAAATACTACATCAAAATGGTCTAGGGGTCAAGGAATGAAAAACGATTAATACGAAGAAAATTGTTTTGTTTCAGATAAAAGTTGGTTGTTTTTGTTGGCTTTTAAAAAATTGTTCAAGGTTGTTCAATTTAAACATTTTATTTAATTGTGTGTATTTCAAAATATCAATTTTCAAACGTCATTATTACGCAAACCGCTGATTTTAGAGATATATAGTCCACAGTACAGCCCCCCCCCCCTGGAAAGTTGATTACCACATACTTTATAACTCCTGACGAGCTTCGTTTTGACGAGTCTACCACACTTTTCCTCTGCGACTTTTCTCGATTCCTCCGCTTTTCCACTCGGAAAAGTCCAAAAACATGTCAATTTTCCGGGGTCTTGAAAAGTCAAGAAAACATCTTTTATTTTTAGCTTAAGTTACTGGAAATTTTGTTGCAAATATCGATTTAAATTTGTCCGACACAAATTCTACCGGTCGAAACATGCCAAAATAACAGGGTATTGAAAATCAATTACCACGTAGGTAATTTTTAGTAAAATTAACTGTAAATAATTAATTCAGTCAAAAAGTATTGTTGTTAGACAAATTTGAAGCCTCGTTTTTTGAGTCCGACAGCTGGAAATCGGAATTTTCACACGGTATGATAAATCGATTACCACATGTTGGACAAAAATAACACACGATAGAAAAGTGTTTTTTATAAGCAAAAATTGTAATGTCCGACAAAAATATATCCGCAAATCGCCAGTCCTTGGCGATTTGCGGATATAACAAAAAATGATGAAAAAAATTTCGTAAAAAATGTGCACATGTATTTATAATTTCTAATAAGGTATTTTCATGTATTAAGCAAAATTCCATAAATTTCGTAAAAAATGTGCACATGTATTTATAATTTCTAATAAGGTATTTTCATGTATTAAGCAAAATTCCATATAAATATACAATACAGGGTGTTTCAGAAAGACCTCCCGTAAATACAGGGGGTGATAGTACGACAAAAAATGAGAATTTTTTTTCTTATGAACTATATGTCTATGTTTTCTTGTTTTCGAGATACATAGAGACAAAATAAAAATTTTTAAATTGAATTTTTAAGAAAATTTCCAAACGGTGCGAAATATTTTTTGAAATTTGGTATTCCGGGGTTTTTAAGGGTGCCAAATACGCTAGTCAAATTATTTTTTGTATATATCATAGAGGGCGCTAGTTACGCTATATTCTTATTACATTTTAAGTTCTATTTTTTTTGAGGTTTGGTTTTTTACCTTTCGGGTTCCAATTTCTATTGTACAATTTTATTTTCTAAAAACAATGTACTCTTGTTAGAACTTCCTAATGTGGACGATTTTCGAGAAAAAAGGCTTTTAATTAAACTCTTACAATATTACGGTGTATAAAATAGAGTTTTCTCAAAGCTCAAGCTTACTTTGAGAAAAGTCACTTATTTTATATTGTGATATTGTTAGTCTTTTTTCTCGAAAATCGTCCACATTAGGAAGTTCTAACAAGAGTATATTATTTTTAGAAAATAAAATTGTACAATAGAAATTGGAGCCCGAATGGTAAAACACCTAACCTCAAAAAAATAGAACTTAAAATGTAATAAGAATGTAGCATAACTATTAGCTCCTCTATGAAATATACAAAAAATAATTTGACTAGCGTATTTGGCATCCTTAAAAACCCCAGAATACCAAATTTCATAAAAATATTTCGCGCCGTTTGAAAATTTTCGTAAAAATTCTATTTAAAAATTTTTATTTTATCTCTCTGTATCTCGAAAACAAGAGGAGATAGACATATAGTTCATAAGAAAAAAAAATCTCATTTTTTGTCGTACTCTCACCCCCTGTATTTACGGGAGGTCTTTCTGAAACACCCTGTATATATTTTTCGTTTTATTCTTGTAATTGTAAATCTCTTATGCTCAATTTAGCCAAATAAATATCGATAAAGGAATTAAACGATTTCAAAAAAGTATGTATGGTGCAAAAAAATTATGCACAAAAGTTTTGGGATTTTCTTTTAGAAAAATAGGAAAATTTTTGTAAAGAAAAATAACAAACGCGAATGAAAACTTGAAAAAGAAAAAAGGATTTTTATATCAAGTATAATATTAATTTATTTAGAAATAATGCATTATGCACTAAGATCGTATTAATCGCCTCAAAAATAACTTCATTTGTTTATAACTTTTAAATTTTTAAGCATAAAATAAGCAATATTATAATTATTTATTTGAAACAAATAATAATTTACATAATAATAATTAATAACCATTTATAAATATGAAATTTTTGGAGTGAAAAAATTAAATTTCATCACGTTTATTGATTTATTGATTTTTTAATAATTTGCGGACATTAAATCGTCGGACACTTATATCACTATTTTGTACAGTAAATTTAAAAGTGGAAAAAATGAAAATTAGATATGTGGTAATCGATTTTTCATACCCCGTGAAAATTCCGATTTCCAGCTGTCGGACTGAAAAAACGCGGCTTGAAATTTGTCGGACAACAATACTTTTTGACTGAATTAATTATTTACAATTAATTTTACTAAAAATTACCTATGTGGTAATTGATTTTCAATACCCTGTTATTTTGGCATGTTTCGACCGGTAGACACGTCAATGTCGGAAGAATTTCTGTCGGACAAATTTAAATCGGCATTTGCAACAAAATTTCCAGTAACTTAAGCTAAAAATAAAAGATGTGGTCCTGACTTTTCAAGATCCCGGGAAATTGCCATGTTTTTGGACTTTTCCGAGTGGAAAAGCGGAGGAATCGAGAAAAGTCGCAAAGGAAAAATGTGGTAGACTCGTCAAAACGAAGCTCCTCAGAAGTTATAAAGTACATATGTGGTAATCAACTTTCCAGAGGGGGCCTGTACTGTGGACTAATAGTATGTTATACAAAAAGTGTCCAGAAGTTACCGTACAATTAAAAAATGGCATAATATACAGGGTGTTCCATTAAAAAAACAATGATGACTGCATACGTCCTTCTTGAGACACCTTGTATACAATTTTCTTATGTCAAAAAATCCGCAATTAAAAATACTAATAGACGTGTCTGAGCATTTTTCAACAAATAATTACCTGAATTTTAAACAAATTTGTTCCTTCCATCATGTTTTAGATTTATTGCTGTTTCGGTGCTTATTTAAAGTAGGATTACATTTTATACCAAAATAGTTTTGTGAAGATTGGTTCTTGTACATACCTGAGAAGCTGGTAGACTAACATACATGAAAAGATGCAAACCAAAATTCCACTAACAGATAGTCCAAACATGGCCCTTAGGCAAGAGTAAAGAGCTCCATGTATAACTTCACAGTCCGGCGTCGAATCGAAAACATATCTCATCCCTATAAATTGATACACACGAAAATTAGCAATAAATGAATTATGAAAAAATCTGCTTCAAACTCAAAAATACTCTTCAATACTTTAAATAAGCTTCTAAGTATATTTCAATAACAACTCATCTCAAAGTTGCTGTAAGTTTACTTTGTGAGATCAAGACGAATATACTTGAGAAGATATCGTTAAATACATTTTACTATTACAATTTAAATTACAAATAGCTAAAGTATAAGCGATATCAAGACCATACAGTGTGTTTCAAAAGTTATGCGCATGTCGGAAAGGTTAATTTTGTTTTTTTGGGGCATAAACTTCGGTAAAATTCAATTTTCAGAAATGTAACCAGTGGCGGCAGAAGGGGATAGAGATGCTTTATTTAAATGGCAACCATATTTTTTATTGGACCGTATGAAAGCTTAAGTTTTTCTGATTAATTTGGTGTGCTACATGTAGGGGGTTGGTCGGGAAAATTTCGGAAAAAAATCGACAAAAACTTAAACTCTTATATATTTGTTTTTCAACGTGATAGCTGAGTCTACATGCCTGAATACAATTAATTTTATATGCTTCGACTATAGTAAATAGACTTTTAAAACATTTATTTTAAGTAGGTAAGTGAATTTTACCGTAGAAGTGGAAGTTGTTATGGAGGTATGTGAGGTAACTTACCTCCCTAGGGAAAAAAGCGATTTCGAGTTATAAATGCATATTTATGGGCAAACAAATAGAAATATTTTATTAATTATTATGAATGAATATTTATAGTAATTGTACAGTTATTATATTTAGTAACATTTATAAAATCTGGATAATTATTCCCATCGCTTTTACTAATTGTCACATTTTTCCCAAAATGATTTGACCGCTCTATTTCAGTCACTGGAGGCTCAATATTATCTGACTGATCCATTAAAACAGCATGATGCGACGTACTACTAGAATCTGGAGTTGAAGTGTCATTGTAAAGAATCCTGTTGGCTATTTCATTTTTGATACTTAAACTGTCAGCAACGTAACTTTCTGCAATTATGGCTGATTTCCACCCACCACGTCTCTTGATTGCTAATACATTAACTCCTGTATTAGCCAGTAACATTGCCGATGTTCTTCGGAATGAATCGCCTGTATATGTTTCAGGATGTTCTAGTTTCAAAAACTGTGCAATCTTATTAGAAATAATTGAAAGGGTATCCTTGCTGACTGGTTGGTTGTAACATCTACTGCTTGATAGCGCACTAAAAAGCGTGATTTCAGTTCTAAATTCCAATCAAATTTTGATATATTTTTTGAAAATTTCTAGGTGAGAAACAGAACCCAGACGAGAAGTAGGTAATTGTACGTATGTGACTTACCATTTTTAGAATCTGGTATTTTAACTACAATAATGTCATCGAAATTTTTTAAATTGACGTTGTTCAAAGTAAGTTTGTATAACTCATGAAATATGCTAGCAGTGACATTTTAGAAACACCAGTACTTTTGTTCTGGCACCATTCTTTGAAATTTCTATATGCTCGTCCGTAGCGCACATTCGACTTCTCGGACAATAAAAATTCGCAGGCAGTATTTGCACCACTTTCTATTTGAAAATCGGTCATTTTGAAATAATAATTCAAAACCATCAAAATTGCAACTTTTATGTTGCTTTGTTTATAAACACCTTAGAAACGACAAAATTCAAACAACCAAGGTGACTTTACAAGATTTCGAATAATGTGAAAATGAATTGATTTAGAAATGTCAAAAAATAAAACCTAATCTTTATTTCATGAACCATATAGGACTGTGGGAGCAAATAAAATTGTATACACCACGCAGCAGTTAAGTATAATCATTGTATAAGTAAATACTTATACAATGGTTGAGGTATTGTTTTAGTAGTTAAAAAAAATAAGTTATACGGAAGTGGAAGCTCATCTCGATCGCATCGCGGTCTCCCGATATTCTTTGGAAAAGATCGGTGGAGAACGCGATGCGAGCGGGATGAGCTCGGGAACGTTCTAGTGCGAATGCATACATTATAAAACATGGGAAGGAACTATACTGCGTGCGATCAAGACTAGCACGGTCCGCGATGCGATGGGTCAGGTCAAATACACAGGTCTACTATAGGAAGAGTCTTGCAAAAATTAAGGTTCTCGAGTCATGTAAAAAATTTGCTAAAAACAGGTCTTCTTGCCGTTGGTGATAATCCTTATGCAACAAAATGGCAAGTAGGACGAAATCTTGATATTAGCCATTCGTACAAACTTCGATTGACCCATGAATTAACAGAGGACGATTTTGATCGTCGTATGATATTTTGCGAATTAATACAAAATAGCTGGAACGATGATGAGAACTTCATTACCGTCATCTTCTTCGACTAGGCTAAGTTTTGTTTGAATGGCACAGTCAACAGACAAAATTGTCGATATTAGTCCGTCGAAAATCCGCATTGGATTCAAGAGGTGCATACCCAGTATCCTCAAAAGGTGAATGTGTAGGTAGGTAGGTATCGTAAGAAATCGAATATTTGGGCATTATTTCATCGATGGAAATTTGAATGGCGCAGGGTACCTTGAATTATTAGAGGAACTGGTTACTGTTCTATTAGAACTTCATCCAGGAGGGGAAATAAGTCTTGAAATATGGTTTCAATATGGTGGCGTTCCGTCACATTACGCAGCTATCGTAAGAAACTATTTTAACCATCAATTTCCACATCGTTGGATTGGCAGAAGAGGAGAAATTGAGTGGCCGGCAAGGTCTCCCGATTTAACCTCATTTGACTCTTTATTGTGGGGATATTCGAAAGTAAGGTATATCGTGACAGACCGGATAACGTTGAAGACCTGAAGCAACGCATTCGCCATCAGATCAGGCAAATATCTGCCACCTGAAACAATCAGGAATGTGGAGAGAGAGTTTGTCGACACTGTCGCTGGATCATTGTCGAGCTGCAGGCGGTCGGAAGTTTGAACATTTGATTCAGTAAAATCAAGTAAAAAGAGCTATTTCAACAAAACGTGTTATACCTTCGAAAAAATACGTGTTTCCGTTTTTTTCGATTTTTTTTTCGTTTTCCCAACCAACCCACTACATGCAGCACACAAATTAATCAGAAAGGTCTAAACTTTCATAATGTCCAATAAAAAAAGTGGTTGTCACAAAAGCAACCCTATCCCCCACCACTGATTACATTTTTGAAAATTGAATTTCACCGAAATTCATGCCCCAAAAAACCAAATTGATCTAACCGAGCTATTTTTTCAAAAATTTCCAATTTCCGAAAAGAGTATGACTTTTGAGACACACTGTATATCAGTATCAGTCATACCGTCATCTGTGTTGGAGTGAGCCTCAAGCAAAACTGAGTAGCAGGTGCATGTTCTGGTCTTCTGAGTATAAACGCATTCCCGTAAGGTTTGCAGTCTGTTCATATGGATAACTGTCGTCGTAATGGTTACCAGTACACAAGTTAAGGCACAAACCAGGCAACACAATCCACATACTTTTATCTGAAACAGAAACAAAAGGGTAGGTACTTGATCAAATTACGGTCCATATATTAGAAAATTCTTGTCATTAACTTAGAAGTATGAATGTTTATTGACTTTTATCAACAGTATATCAAAGAGGATCAATGTCATGGAATCGAATTAACTTAAAGGTTTTTAATATGAATTTGAGACATACGGGTATTGGTGTTGGCCCTATCATACAAAATAACGCTAAGAATCTTGTCGTACAAGAAGATTGTGTGACAATTTTGGTTTTATTGTTTTTGTTTTAGTATTGCATAGCAGAGTCTTGGTTACGTCGGTAGCCACTTTAAAATTTAAGAAGTTAAAAAAACTAATAGAAATTGGTTACATTATGTATAGGTCAGTCATAAGAATATAAAATATAATCTCTTAGAAGTTAATTCTTTATTTTGTGTCTAATTATACGGAAAAGTAAATATGTCTGTATACTTACCAAGTAGCTGTATCTGTTTTTTCTTCTAGCTAAGCTCATTACACAAATTCCCGTCAATATTAACTGCAAACAATGATTTTTCATTAAAAATTTGTATTGGTCTTATTTCCAGCCATAAATCTACGTGATGTTGAGATATTTCGGTTCTTGCAAAATATAAAGATAAAAATATTTAATGAAGATATTTAAATTTTTAGTTATTTAGAATTTGAGTTGCTATTGACTTTAGGCAAATCAAAATATGTTTAAAATATTTTTTAGAAATCACTATTCAGAAGAATTTAATAGATTTTATGAAGACTTACATTTCCAATAAAAACATAATTTTAGTCAGTAATATACATTTTTGGCATTCGACATTTTAAACTACAAAAAGTGAAGACAGATGCAGTTTTAATTTGAGGTAACTTTTTGTAAAAAATATAATCAACTTTCTTAAATTCTTTATTTCAATATATGCCTGCGAATTTAATTTATGGAATACGTAATATTTATTTGGGTTATTCATCAAACCGTAATTGATGTACGTTCTAGTATTAATTAAAACACCCCCGGACCCCTACAATCTGGTAAACATTTTTTAATGTTGATTTTTCGAGAAATAGTTATTTTTTATAAAAAGTTTTGCTTAGGGAAAATTTTGAAATTTTTTGGAGGCACTGTATGTTTTATTATATCGAGCGTTCAAATAAAAACGTGGTCGAAGTTGGCTCTGACACATTGGACGTAGGGAGTAGCTTATAGCGACCAACTTAACCTCATTTCTCAACGAGCTGTATAGCAGCTGTCAGTTTCAATAACGTTAATGACTATATAACTTTATTTTAAAGAATAATCGTGATAACAATAACAAACAATTAAAGGAGCTACGGAAAGTGTCCCCCTCCTTGTTATAACAATAAATTAAAGCAGCTGCTGAAAATGTCCCCCTCCTTGTTCCAAACACTTTTCACACCTGTTCCTCAAAGAATTAAAGACATTTTATTTTAATTCTTCAGTCCGCTTTTTAGGTCGGCCGCTTCCTTCTTTCCTTGTTACACTGCCCGTTTCACGAAAAACATTAACACAACGCTGAACTGCACTTTGAAAAATTTTGTAGTCGACAACGCCGGGAAATTGATTTTGAAATTCTATGAAACATTCCTCAATAGAATACTTCCATATTCCAGAGTTGCCTACTTTCCCGAACTGCACAAAATGAAAATATATTTGCATGTACAGTGTTCAGTTACAATATTTTTCCCAACAAAGGAACGGGCGCAAATCCGGTATTTTACATAAAAATGTTTTTTTTTTGCAAAAACTACGCAACTTAGGTGTAGGGAAAGCTACTAAAAAATTGTAGGGTCTACAGAAAGGCATCTAATGAAATCATAAAACACAGGGTGTTCTATTTGAAAAAGTCGAGATTTTTCAAATTTAAATTATCAGGTTTGGCACGATTTTTTTTTGCCTGTATATCGCAGGTCAACTTTTGATACGTTTTTTGAAAGAGCCATCTTCACTCTACAGTTCCTGAAGAAAAATGATTTCTAGCTGTCATACAATCATAATTATGTCAACTACTAGAAGTGACGAAACATAAGAAAAAAAAATGAAAAGTTGATTATCTCGAAAATTATCAACATTTTAATAGGGATCATAACATAAAGTCCCGTTAATTTTTCACGTAGAATTCGATAATGCCATAAAAATATAGGTTTCCATTTAAAAAAATTAAGTTGGTACCTGCCCAGGAAAAACTGAACATATTTTCATTTTGCGCAGTTCGGGAAAGTAGGCAACTCTGTAGAAAAAAAAATTAAGTTATATCTTTTATTAACCTAGATATTGGACTTACGCGCACTAGGTGGACACGGTGTATATCTGATTACTGAATATGACTTCCCAAGATAAGCAAAACTTTTTATCAAGAATGACTTTTTCTAGAAAAATCAATAATAATATTCTATAAATTTAAGTGCAAACTCCGTTACAATATTAGGTTATTATTTATGGAAATTAAATTCTGAGAAGGCTTTGTGTTAAAAAGTTTCCTATAGATTTTATTCTCACAGTTTAAAAAAAAGCAGGGTTGGAAGCAACCGCACAAAATATGGCGTCTATACTAGTTTTAATAAACACTCACCATAGTTGCAGGCACGAAAGTAGGTATAGTCTCAAAATACCCAAGAGTAGACGTATACGATCTTAGTAAAAAATACACTGCTAAGAATAAGGCTCCTAATACGGTGGCTAATCCTCCACAAGCACAACACCAAAATACATATTTTCTAATTCCGCCGCTATTTGGATTTGCTGAAACAAAAGAAAAAACATTGTAACAAAATCGGCGAACTTATAAAGTAAGTTATATTACTCAAATATTTAAACAAACGTAGCTGTATTAAAACGGGTTTAAAACTCACTTAAAGTATAATTGTAAAATAATTTAAAGGTGCTAGAAAATAGAATATAAAAACATTTAAAATAAATCATTAACAAATATAAACAAAACATAAAATGGTATAAATATGAGAATACAAAAAAAAAACAACAAAATAAACATCAAAATATAAAAATAATATAAGTAACACAAATAACAGAAAAAGGACGAATAAAAGAGAAACGAAAATATAAACCCATTGAAAATATTTTTAGATCAATCATATTGCAAGGAATAATGTCGAAATTCTCTCTAATATTACAACTATTTAACAGTTGATATAAAGACGACTTTAGCAGCTTATTGTTAGGGGCAAAAGTTAACATCTCTAGCAATAAATTCACATTTAATGTCACAATTAATGATTTTATGCAAAAACACCGTGCACAATGCATTATTTCGCAAGTCTTAGCAGATTGAAGCGGTTGTAGAGCAAGTTCCTGTGGAGTACCTCCAGCAGGATCTACCCCGTCCAGAAAAATAAGTTCCAAAACAAACAAACAAACAAATAAGAACAATTTAAATCAAAATAATAATAAAAATGTATTTACCAAGCAAGAGCAACTAAACAAGAAACAAAATTAACGTTACGTATTCACAATAATTGTTCAAAATGAGAACCACCCACAACGATACATTTCCGACATCTTCTATTAATGGAACTAATTGAATCTAATATCATGTGGTGATTTTCTTTTAATTCAATGCACCCGTCTTCTATTCGTTGCAGTTGTTGTGATAACCCCAAACATAGAAGTCCAGGGGGTTTAGATATGGCAATCTGGCTAGCCAAGACACTGGACCCTCTACACCATTATGGTTGACATTGGCATTTGGTCTTCTACCTATCCATCGCCTCATATAATTTTCATTAAGCCATTCTTATATTATTCTCTCAGAATGTGCAGGCGCACCATCCGTTGTATTTAGCTATTTTATCTCATGTATATTTAATGGAACAACCTCTAATAATTCATTCACAGAAAATTCGTGTTGAAAAGATCTTGCCTTAATTTCATGAGGATTTTCTTGTGACCAAATATGCAGATTGTGAAAGGTATTATTATTTTGATTTATGTTGTTCTTATTTGTAAAGATAGTGGGTTAGGCTTCCAGGGAAAACTAAAACGTGTCGGGAACTTTACCTCACAGGTGGTGTGGAAACGAGTGTAAAGAAATTTGTTTATGTACTTACGAATTGCACTTACTTTTAAGCATAAACATAATTATTCTTGTAATATTATGGTTACAAGTATCTGCGATAAGGGGATTGTATTGGTATGAATAACATCTTAGAGGTAAAAAAAATAAGTTACCTTTTTTACGTATTTTGTGCACTAGAATATAAATTCGTTACAGTAACTTGTAAAAAATGCAGTGGGGTGGGTTTTTTTTAATAAAAAAGGGGATGACCCCTGTCCAGTTACACCCCACTGGTTGAACCTTTAGAGCTGATACGTTAGGGATTGCAAAGCCTACTATCAAAGATTATTTGTACAAAATGTTATTGAGATTGGTTAATAGATTCCTGAGACATAAACAAAAAATTTTCTTTAGCAACTTCAACACCCTGTATCTCTAAAACGGGGCCGTTCCAGACCTATGTTTATAAGGCAAACACCTATTATTTTAAAGAGATCTATCTGCCTTCTATATGTGTACATTCAGTCAAATGTATGATTAGCTAAGCTTTAACCAATGCCAAAAGTATTCCTTAGAGATTTATTATTTTTTTAAATTTTCTTTAATAATTGTACATAAAATAACTCATTCCTTTGGTCAAAATCCAGTAAATTTGAAAAGAAAAGAAATGGCGTACGTTTGTTCTTCACGTGATCCGAATATTTAATTGTGAACGCAAATGGTGAATCTTTAATTAGTTGTTTCTTTTAATGTTTCAATTTAGATCCCTTGCTTTGTTTCAGTAGTCCCCAAAACATATCAACATTTGTTTAGCTTTTCGAAGCTGCTATTCAGATTTTCCAGTTAATAAAATTTAGATTAATACTTGTTGAACAGACATCCTTAGCTGGTAGTAATAAAATAAAAATATATGTGAAATCAATAAAGTCATTTAGTTTTTCTTTCGGCTAAACAATAAATAATAGGTATATTATTACTCTACTTTAGAGTGAGACCAAACAAATCAAGATTTTACACTTTACAGAGATATCTAAGGACTACCTTTATTACAGATTAATATTACAATTAACAAAAACCTCACCGGCATGGGGTAGGTGGTGGGGATAAGGTTGAATACTGGGCGGTATGTGGTACTGTACGACCTGCATTACAGGATACCCGTGCATTTTTCCTTCTTATAGATTTTCACTACTAAACACTGTCACATTGAGGTAAGATTATTGTCATTTTTCCTTAAATTTAAAGAAGCACAAACACATTTTCATAAAGTACGCACACCTTATTGTCACATCACGAATGACAAAAGACAAATTATCCTTACAGGAAAACGTAAACACTAGCACGTTATAAGGGCTGTTTGCTGAAGCTGCGAATCTGTATATCTGAATTTTGATTTTGGAGGGGAATCGGACACATTAGGTGACAGGACCGTACTTCCCTTTTTCTAGATTTATTAACAGCTGGCTTACGTCGTGCTAAATGTTTGAAGACTTTGCGTAGGTAATTTATTTACTAATGTTTTGTTTGGTGGTATTAGATACTTTTTAAATTAACTGTGGTCATTTCTTTTTGGCCATTTTTGAAATATTATTTTGTTTTCTCCCCGTCCATCATAGACGTTTGTGTAATATCCTTGGAGACAAATTCAAATTTTCAAGGTGAATCGCTTCGTCAGATGGACTAGTAGCATATGGAAAGGAAAGGAATTGTAGAATTTTTCGGTTTTTGGGAAGGAATAAAAATGTTATTATTTAATAACCTGCAGTTTCAGTTCTAAATATCAGATCTCCATTTTATTTTATTATATAAATATGTGGGTTATTTGTTTTTTAAAATATTAAATAGAAAGAATTGGTGATGTATGATTAAATCTCCTCTAGGATATGTTACAAATTTTAAGATAGTGCGATTAAATTAGAGGATGGAAATGGGAGATAAGGGTGAAAATGCACCCCTTCAATTTTTTAATTGTAGCTCGAAAACGAGTCATTTTTTTAAATAAGCCACTTCGATGGGAAATTCAATTCTCTACAAAATTTTTCCTATACCGAAATTTTGCTTCGTTTTCGTGCTATATTTAAAAAACTGCAAAAGTACATTTTCACCCCTATCTTCAATTTGAACCCTCTAAATTAGTAGCACCCCGCAGTTTTTTCATTTTTAATGACCCTTCGAACAAATCATGTGATGAAAATTCTTGAACGTCTTATTTCCTTCCTTTTTTTGCAAAATATGAGAATTAAAATGTATAAGGGTAAACGCGACGAAAATCGAAAAATTGGCTAATTGTAAATTTGAGCGCCATATATCAGTCATTTTCATCCAAAAATACTTTACAACCTCTTATTTTGAAGGAAATTTTATCTACTTTTCTTTCTATGAGGCAATGCCTATACCTATCTTTACTCAAAAAAAACTAGAGGCAAAAAAGTAGAAAAAATAAAAAATTCGAATTATTTGCTTTTTTTTAAATTGTTTATTAACGATTTTTTGTATAAAATTTTCCTTTTAAATTTTTTAATCCGCCATTTCGATGGGAAATTCAATTCTCTAAATAATTTTTCCTATGAACTATAGTGAAATTTTCCTTCATTTTCGAGCTACAATTAAAAAACTGAAAGGGGTGCATTTTCACCCCTATCTCCAATT